AATACAAATTTTGATCTTGCAGAAATCAGTTAAGAGCGTGCAGTGTTATTTCTTAAAATACAAGTGTTCTGAGGATCGGAATGAAGCTTATTTGCACGTTACTACATAGGTGGAATTAATTTAGGTGTTTAAGTGTGCAAGAACTTTACAATCTAGTGGTGTCATCCCAAAATAGCTCTTCCACATAATAACCACTTGCATTCACTAATTTTGCTTACTTTGATCTCTACGGGTAACAGCGAGAGATGGTTAGGGATCAGCTGCTACCAGCTTTGCTTTGAGTAGGGCCTTTGGGTCCATCTACTCAAACATTTTTCATGGTGCGACCTCACCCATCAAGAGTGGGTTTTGAGACTGACACAGCACGCCTGCAGAAGTTTGTCACATTGCCACTGTTTTCCTGTCTGTATAATTTCTTTTATTTTGAGGTCTGAAACAAATCCCACTGGGGAAAGCGTTGCTGGAATTAACTACTTCCATATTAAAAACCTTTACAGGAGACAGCACAGCTGTACCAACAGGACTACACTGCTTCAGTCTTGATATGACAGGCTAGCTTTACTCTGCACTGTCTGAACGGGAGTACCAACAAAGAGAAGGACTAGAACACACATAGCTACCTTTCTACGTTCTTTACAGAAGTTTCATTTTTGTAAGACTTCCATGTTTACTGCACTCTAATGTTGACAGAAACATTTCTGACTGCCTGTATGTGGGTGTTACACATAGAGCATTCTCAGACTCCTGGAGACAAGGATCGGAGTTAAAGATCAAGTTTAACAGTAGCACAGAAGGATATTAGGTTAGCATTTGAGAGAGTAAACTGAAACAGGTAAGGAGGCCTGGATGCATGGCTGATCCCTGCTATCTATCTACTAAGCACAAGTGCGAAGCTCCTTCATACATCGCATTTTCCATAATTTGCAGAAATATTTGTTTGGTCATACAGTGTATTTACATGCCAACTTTTAATGAAACCTTGTGGGCCACTGAACCTGACATTCCCACATTCTTGCGTCAAATGATGTAGTAAACTTACTGTTATAGAGAAAAATACAATACATTAAATGAACTCTATTGGTAGGAATTCAGTGTACATTGTAATTACTTGAACTAAGGAGCCAATATCACAAAATAAGCGTCATCAATTCCACTATTATCAATTCCAGTAAGGATTACAGAGTTACTATGCAACCAACTTTACATCTCCTGTTTGTTCTACCTTCTCTGCATTCTTGGCTCTTCTCCATATTAGCATTATAAACTGATTACAGCATAGCTTACTTTGAATTCTCTGTAGTAGCTGTCTTTCTCATTACATCTTCTCTCTGTGTTGTCTAACCTCTTTAATGCACTTTTCTTCATTTTTCCCCCATCTATGCACAGCCTGGACACTTCAGTGTTACCAACCTATTGTCCCAAAGGTGATGGGAATTTTGATAGAGACAAACCTAGTCCTAAACAAAACACTAGCAGTAAATACTAAGCCACCCTCCAGGCAAAGGCAATGAATTTTCTCATCAGGTTATTCTAAGGCAGTGTTACTTAGTCTATAAGACGTTTCTTTACAACTTGTTCCTGCCTCTAAATCCAACACTGTTTTTTCTGTAGGAATTTCAGATTTTTTTTCAGCTCCTAAGAAGAGCTCCTAAGGCTCAAGGGTATAAGCCTAACCTGATGGCTGTGGGATCCACATCTACCAAAGAGATTCAACAGGCAGCTGTAACCACAGATAAGTCCCTTTTAGGTGCTCACTCTGATTCGTAACAGTCAAGAAAGCAGGAGTAGGAGGAAAACAGGATTTAATAACACCTTGGACTGTCTGCAAGGCACATTTGTTATAGTTAAAGTGGCTCTAATTTCTTTATATCCACAAGGACTATAAACAATTTCAGATTCTGCAGTCAGTAAGACTTAACAATAACATTCTAGAACCACTCTGAGAGCTGATTTTTTAAGTAGACTAACATGTAGTAGACTAACAACATACAATCATTTCTTCCCTACTTAGTAATTCATAAAATTTAAAGTATTTTGCAGAACATTTAGTGGACATACAGTAATACCAACTATTCTATTTGCTTGGTTCCTCACATCAATTCTTCACAAGGTAGAAAGGAGGCTAAAAACACTTGCCCCATAACTGCATGTGTGATGTTGACAGGCTACAATATGTTCACAAGAATGCTGTCACTAGCCTACTGAACTACCTTCTTCACATAAAATACATTTCGATTTAGAAGCAAAGTAATTTCAATAGGTTAGAGCCATTAGAAGTTTACCAGAAGTTGCCTGTAAGCACTCTCAAGGGGGTGGGGAGTTTCCTGTCTAGAACACATGTGATCAGCTACTGATTCCCACTATATCCTACAGCACTTGCTAGGGTGGCAAAGCAAACAAATCCAATCACAAAGTTAAAAGATTTTTCACATATAATTATTTCTTCTTCAGTTGTAAAACTGCAGCAAAAATCATGATGTTGTCAATTAGCTAAATGCAGTTCCTAAACAACTTTTTACATAATAATACACTGTACCTACATTATCCTTTGGTATCGGAGACTGCCATACATCAGTTTCTAAGACAGCAACATCCTTTGCCTCAGCAATTATTTTCTTTCAAGTCACATACACTTGAAATTTAACAGGAGTAAAAGCTCATCTGAGACATAACGCCTCTGTCTCATGGTAGACCCTTAGAAAAAATAAATACGGGTTGTCAGTGCATGACTTAACTGAGGTTAAGAACACAACTGTTCTTACGGAAGGTGTAAGTCAGTCTGAATACAGAAGACACATGGACCACTGCAAGGTCTCCAACCACACTTATTTAAGAGTCTTGTCTTCCTCCTTCATTGCCTTCACCCAGTACTGCCTTATCCTCACAGCCACACCTCTCCCTGCCCCACTTCTCCACTTCTATCCTTCCTCCCCAGTAGCCTACTATTTCTATGGATTATTTATCCAAAGAGTACACAGCCACAGGTGACAGAGATTACAACAAATGCACAGCTAGGAGACATTCTGGTTTTCACTTTCATGGCTAAAGATCCTCTCCTTAAGGTCTAAAAAAATAAAGACAGTATTATTTCAACATGGTCAAAGTACATGCAACTCAAAATACTTCACTTTAAAATGTTTATAATCTTTCCCTTCCTCAAATTCAGAAGAACACTACAAAGTGAAGACTGAGATCAAGGAATTTACAATAGTAAAGGAGTACATTCACTGTTCAGCATCACAGCTTATTTAACCTCACAGACGAGTCCATGCAGTGGACTGAAGGCTTTTTTTGATCTTTTTGTGCAACAGTACACCATATCTTCCTGTTTATACAGAAAAGAAAAAATGGTAAACATGACTAGCACTGGCAACTCCTAAAATTTCTACCATTTGGAGGCTTCCACAAAAAATGTTTGACAAGCTGTCTCACAAGCACAGACTGCAGGATATAATCTGCATCAGAGATAATGTATCAAACAGTTGTTCTTCATTCTATTAAGAATGTTTGCAATTTCTCAGGATTTAAATATTGAGGTGTATGCTAAGAAATTAGTGAGTCAGCTGAAAAGAAGATGATTAATTATTAAGAATCCAGTTACAATCACTGCTAATTATCCTGAAAACTAACAGAATACCAGTCTCCTCTCCCAGTCAATGCAGCCCCTCTCCCAGCAGCTCCTCTCTTTTCAATTTAACTTCCAGCGGAAAAGACAAAGAATGACTGATATCTTTATGTGCAGATCTCTCCATAACCTATTGCCAGACACTAAAATGCCAGCAGAGGTACGTATTCTTCCACTCGTGCAAGTGTAATGATTTGCAGAGCAGAATGCAATTCTCTTTCCAATGAGAACTGGAATGCAAGCTTAAAACAAAACATTAGGCGTCAGAAAATAAACATTTCGGCAGTCTTTCTGCTAGAACAGTTCTGTGATGCTACAAAACAAACACACGGATCGTACACAAAAGTTGCTCTCCAGGTTACTCTCGGGATATGTATGGCCCACTTTACAATTTCATTTCAAAGAGTCAATTAAGGCGAAGGAGCTGAAGCTATTAGCTACTATTTAAAAGAAACCCAAAAGCGAACACCAAATTGCTTACCTAACGAAACAGGTGAGCATCGAAAGGCTCTTTTATTTAGGGAACTAAGTAGTCACACTTTGTACTTCTCCCTTTTGTTGCAGGCAGCCACAAGCTATAGTCACCGGTAACTACAGAAAAGCGCAGCACACGAAAGCGAGCAGCAATTACACGTTGCAGAAACCCTGCTCTTACTCACCCTAGCACCGCAGCGCACACACGCTCACACACACCAGGGTCTGCGGCACCCGGCCAGGGCAGGACCCGTCATCGCTCGGCGTAGCCCGGCCGGGGGATGAGCACCGCGGCCCCTTCCCCGCCAGCCTCGGGGCGCGGCCCCTTTGTTCGGGTGCCGGCGCTACCGCGCCCCGCCCTCCACAGGTACGGGCGGCGCCGCCGCAGCCCCGGGACCCGCACCCGCCCCGCAACAGGCGGCAGGGCCCCGCTCCCCCCGCGCCCCGGCCGGAGGTCGCCAAGGTCGGCGTCCGTAACCTTCAGGGACCGGCGGCCGGGCCCCCACCCGCCTGTCCCAATGCCCGGGCGGGGCCGGCAGGCGCACACCGCCGGGGACGGGCGGCGGCCGCGCCTCGACACCGACCCTCGGGGGGCGCAGAGCGGCGGGCAAGGAGCCGCCGGAAGCCCCCGCCCGCACGGGAGCCCCCCGTAACCCCCACCGCAGCGCCCCCCGGCGCGGGTTCTGTGCGGGATCCCCGCGCTCCCCCCCCGCCCGGGCTGGCCCGCGCGCCCCCAGCCCGGCCCGGCCCGGCCCGGCTCACCTGCGGCGGCGGCGCGCGCGCCCCGCTGCCCGCCGGAGGAGCGCGCAGGGAGGGGCAGGGCGCGCGAGGTGAGGCCCTGGCGCCGCCCCCGCGCGCACGGCCGGAGGCGCGCGCGGCCCGGGGCGGAGGGCGGGCCCTGGTGGGGCGGGGCGGAGCCGGGCTGGGGGGGGCGCCGCCGCCGCCGCAGGGGCTGGAGCGTTGTCACCGGGCGTGGCCCCGCCCGCCTCCGCCCCGCGCGGGGAGGGCGGTGTCAGGCGCCGGGGCGCGCAGGCGCAGTGCTGGCGGAGGCTGAGGGGGGCGGCGGGGCGCAGGGTAGCGGGGCGCGTGCGGGAAGACCCGGTGCCGGTCCCGGAAGAAGGGGGCTGCTTCCGGCCAGGGCGCGCGCCGAGCGTGGCGGGGGCGGTGCCGTTGTGTGTGCGGCCGCGGCGGGTGACGGGCGGGGGGGGACCGGAGGTGCCCCCGCTCTCCGGCGCGCGCTTCGTGCCCGCTCCTGCCCCGGGGGAGTCATCCCGGTGCGGGGTCGTGTCCCGCTCGTCCCACAGCACCTGCTTTCTTTCACTGCTTCTCCTCCTTTGTCTCGGCCGAAACCCTGAAGGGAGGCAGTGAGAAAACATCGTAGCCCGATGTCTGTCCCTCCTGCCTGCCAGCTAATCCTCGATCTGGAGAATAGGCGAGGCGTGTCCTGCCGTGGTAAGGAGATAAATTCCTCACATCTGTCGCTAGATTTATAAACAATTATTTTTAGTGGGGCTTTCCTCCAGGGACAAGTGTAAGCTGAGGAAACATTAAATAAGCTGAGTTTAAGGATCACTGGCAGAAGGGAACATGAAGCACTGCGACTCTTAGAGGTTTGGGGGTTTTTGGTTTTGTTTTTTTTTAATAGTCATGGACCACTCAATGCATGGAGGATTTTATACATGCCAGAACAAGGAGATAATCCATGTTAATTACAATAATTGAAATAATAGCAACGATGCCTTAATAACTGTATCTGTAACTGCTAAATCATGGACATAAATGGGAGCTTTGTGTAAACACATCATGATTTAAACTCATGATGTAAGTGATGTAACGGAACCTAAGCATAATATCGAAATTGGCTGCTCATTTTGAGTCTTTGGCTTTCAGGCTGTAACTGCAATATTCACAGACAATACAAATTATTTTGAAGGCTCCCCTCTTCCACATAATTACTGGACTGAAGGTAGTTTCCAAGTCTGGAAATTCCAGATTTTATCACCTCAGATGGAAAACTTTGATCTCAGTGTTCACCTGAGATGCAGGTGTTCAAGCAGCTATTGCACCTGTTCATGCAGCTATTGCACTCTGTTTGCAAAGCAGGTGCACTTTAAAATCTTCATTGTTTTTCTCTGTGCTCTGTTTTCTGCAATTTTTGATATCTTGGATATTTAGTCAGTGTTTAGTACATATCCCTCTAGGATTTAGTTTCATTGGCCTCACATTTCAGTATGAGCTAATTTTTGCAAATTCCAGATGCAAATCATTCTGATAAAAATACCAAATACAATCATTTACTTAAAGAAATGTTGGATTCTGTTAAATGGAGAGAGGAAAAAAAGGACAGAAGGAAAGGAAAGCTGGTAACATTGAGTCAACCAAACAGCCAAAAGAAGACACAAAATGTTTTTGGTATTTCGTGACAGGGAAAAGTTTGCACGCCAGCTATGAATAGACTTTTCATGAGACCATGAAAAGATTGGAAGAGTCTTTGCATGATCCTATACACACGATGATTCAGGAGTCCTCAAGAAATCCTGGCACAACTTCTGCAGCCCTTTGAGTATCTCTGTACTGTATTAGTTCTTACTACATATTCCAGAACCCTTCCATTGGAAGAGTGGGTGAGTTATAGTTAAGGTCTCATTAATGCTGATGTGTGCAGCCATTCAGTACTTCCTTGTTCCTTCAATACTAGAGCTAGTCCAAAACAGCCTTTGCCCTGTAAGACACGGTGTGGATTACCAGGGCATTGCTAGCACCTCTTTCACTCTGGAAATGCCTGTATGCTTAGAATAGTTGGAAGGGACCTTAAGGATCATCTAGTTCCAACACCCTTGCCATGGGCAATTACGCCACCCATTAGAACATGTTGCTCAGGGCCCCATCCAACCAGGCCTTGAACACCTCCAGGGATGGGGCATCCACGTCATCTCTGAGCCACTTGTTCCTATGCCTCACCACCCTCACAATAAAGAATTTCTTGTAAGAGCTAATCTAAATTTCCTTTCTTAGTTTATAAAGTTTATAACCATTTCCCCCTTGTCCTATCACTGTCTCCCTATGTAAAACATCACTCTCTCTTTTATAAGCCCCCTTAAAGTAGTGGAAGGCTGCAATGAGATCTCCCCAGAGCTTTTGCTTCTCCATACTGAACAACCCCAAATCTCTCAGCCTTTCCTCATAAGAGAAGTGCTTCATCCCTCTAATCATCTTGGTTGCCCTCCTTTGGACTCGTTTCTACAGTCAATGAATGTCCTTCCTGTGCTGAGGAACCCAGACCTGGACACAGCACTCCAGGTGGGGTGTCACGAGGGAAGAGCAGAGAGCGACAATCACCTCCCTCCTCAACCTGCTGGCCGGTCCTCTTTTGATGCAGCCCCAGATACCATTGGTCTTCTGGGCGAGCACACGCTGTTGGCTCATGTCCAGCTTTTCATCCTTGAAAACCCCCAAGTTCTTCTCCACAGGGCTGCTCTCAGTGGATTGTTCTCCCAGTCTGGACTCATGTCTAGGATTGCCCCAGCCCAGGTGCAGCACCTTGCACTTGTACTTTTTGAACTTCATGAGGTTCCTATGGGCCCACTTCTTAAGCTTGTCCCCCTAGATGGCATCTTTCCATCTGTTGTGCCAAATGCACTGCTCAGCTTCATGTCATCTGCAAACTTGCTGAGGGTGCACTTGATCCCACTTTCTGCGTCGCTGATAAATTAAAGAGCACCAGTCCCAAGACAGAGCCTTGAGGAACACCACTCTTCACTGGCCTCCACCTGGACACAGAGCCACAATTCTCTGCATCTATCCAGCCAATTCCTTATCCACCAAATAGTCCATCAATCAAATCCATGTCTCTCCAATTTGGAGATAATGATGTCATGTGGGACCAGGTCAAAGGCCTTACAGAGATCTGGATAGATGACAATCTTCCCTTGTCAACCACTGTAGTCACTCTATCATAGAAGGCCACCAGATTGATCAGGAACAATTTGCCCTTAGTGAAGCTGTGCTGGCTGTCTTGGATCAACTCTTTGTCTCATACCTGCTTAACATTGCTTGCATGAGGATCTGCTCCAGAGTCTTCCCAGCCACAGGGATGAGGGTCTCCGATATGTACCCAGCCTCCTTTCTCCCCTTTTTAAAAATAGGAGCAGTGTTTCCCTCTTTTCAGTCACTGAGGACTTCACCTGACTGCCAGGATTTTTCATATATGGTGGAGAGTGGCTTGGCAACAACATCAGCCAGTTCCCTCAGGCCCCTGGGAAGCATCTCATCAGGCCCCATGGACTTGTGGCTATTCAGTTTCATCAAGTGGTCTCAAACCTGCTCTTCACTTACAGTAGGAGGGACTTCACTCCCTATTTTGCACCACCCTACTTGTTAATGGATGTGGCCTTTGTCCTTTTGATCTCCCTGTAGAGCTATTTGAAGACAACAAATGTAATTTTATTTTGAATTTTTATTTTGCGGCTAAGGTGCGTATGATAATGCAATTAAAACGAGTTTATAGTATACCCTTCATCTTTTGCTTGGAAGCGTCCCCTGGCACCTTGCCAAACCGAAGTGGAAAAAATGAGCTCTTTAATTCAAAACTAACAGAAGTATTTCCATGAAAATGCATTACGTTAAGAATTCCTATTCAATTGCTAACAAGTCACCACAGTGAGAGCATCTCTGCAGCACCTGTGATGTTTTAGGGTGTGGCTCTGGTTCATCAGTGTGAGAGTGCAACCTGTCAGAGGAGAGTAGGTGTAGCTATTTCACTCTTCTGACTGCATAAGAACTTAGGGGTTCACAGCCCAAGGCAGCAACAGGTTTGAATTGCTCCCTGCTCTCTGGTGTTTAAATGCTACCATGGGTACCTAAAACCCTACAGGCAGTACTGTAGACATTTGCAATGTGGCTCTAAGGATGTAGGTAATGGTTGTCTTTTGTTATGTATTAGCATATGTGCCAGTACAGCTCTGCATGTAAAATACTTACAGGGAAAAATTACAAAGTGTAATTAGGCAGAGATGTAATTAATTGTGTGCTAGTAGTATTTGCATTATGTACTATAATAAAGCTAAGAAATCAACTGATAAAATAATTCCACTTATTTTAAAAAGCTAAAGATACAGTGGATATATCAGACAAAACATGTCCAAATCTTTGGGAAAAACATTGATGTGCAACTTCCGTTCCCACGGAACAAAAAATACATGTTCCCTTTACTTTAACACACATTTCATAGCACACAATGTATATCTAAAGTATGCATAATTTAACACTGTAATTTTATCTTAGATTTCTGTTGACATGAACAAATGAACCACGTTCTTTGGAAAACCACCTTATCATGCATAAATCATCCATTCTTCCTTTAAGAGCTCAATAAATCTTCCAGAGTGGGAGAGACTTCGTTTTTCTAAGGGACAAAAGAGAAAGAGAACAAAACCATTTAATGGTTTTTGAGGGTACCCTCATATTTGAGCCCAAATCAATTACCCTGGCATGTGCTGAATCTTGTGGGTGTGTGGGCCTTTGTGTTGTGAAGTATTGCTGAACTGAAATCGATACAGGAAGGTAGGATTTCCTGGTATTATGGTTAATTTCTTCTCTTTTATGCTGGTGGCACAGCTGTATTAGAATTTATTAGACAACATTTTACTACCAATACATAAGGATGCATGAAATGTATTTGTGATTTAATGGAGTTTCTAAGTAGCAGGATGGATGAAAAGAAATCACCCAGCCAAAATCCACATATATTCCGAGGAGAATCACACACACAACACACACACACACACTCAAAAAGGAAGAGCTAGAAGCTTTTACCTGCCTTCAGTTTGTAGCAGTTGTGAGAAAACACAAGTAACATCATCATCATCATGGCTGGGCTTTGCGAACGAAGATTTGGGAAGGCTCTATCCACATTTGTTGCAGGCACGCTGGTGGCTTATGAGGCCAATACATGACAGACATATCCGATTGCAAAAGGCACAGCAGAAAGACACCTTAGATGGTGTATTCTGCAAGACACGGTTCTTTCTGCGTTGCCTTTTCTCCTCAAGGGTGATCCTGCGTGTGTTCTCAAAGGAGACAGCTGCGTTATAGATGGTGTGTCTCCAGGCCTCCCGATTTGAGGCCAGAGTAGACCAGTTATGATGATCAATATGGCCAAGGCTGAGATGTTGTTTCAGGGAGTCCTTGTATCTTTTCTTCGGGGCTCCTCTCATGCGGCAGCCAGTGGCAAGTTCACCATAAAGCAAGATCTTAGGGAGGCGGTGGTCCTTCATCCTGGAGACGTGTCCTGCCCAACACAGCTGTGTTCTCAGCAACATGGCCTCAATACTTGTGACTGCTGCTTGTTCTAGAACAGACGTATTGGTCACAAAATCTGACCAGTGGATGTTTAGGATTGAACGGAGACAGCGTTGATGGAAGCGTTCTAGGAGACGCATATTAAGTAACAATGAGTGAAGAATATGTTAAACTATTGCTTGGCTAATTATCAACATACTCATACTTCTCAAGTTTGTAACTGTGTTTTTCTGTGTTTTTGTGTAAGGGCTGGTCAGGTTTTAAGGATATACTACTCTTGAGGTATGCCCAACTGGTATGCCCAAGGGCAGACTTGGGAGATAGCTCCCACTTTGCACAACAAAGAGTGATGGCTGCCTTGAGAGGGTTGTCACATACTGGAGGGGCCAAATCTCCCTCTGAGTGTGCCTATTTCGCTCTGAAAACTAGCAGGAGAATCTGATGTGACAAAGCTTATTTTGGTGCCTGCTGTTAGGCAGTACAGCTTCAGGTCTTAGGTGACAGACTACTGGACTGGGATTCAAGTAATCTCAGTTTTACTCTGTTCTGGTTTTGTCAGGGGTGGAGTTGATTTTCTTCATAGTAGCTAGTATGGGGCTATGTTTGCGATTTGTGCTGAAAACAGTGTTGATAACCCACAGGGATGTTTTAGTTGTTGCTGAGCAATGCTTGCCACAGCCTCAAGGTCTTTTCTGCTTCTCACGCTGCCTCAGCAGTGAGGAGACTTGGGGGTGCACAAGAAGCTGGGAGGGGACACAGCCGAGACAGCTGACTCTGACTGATCAAAGGGATATCCCATATGACCCAGACCATCTGGTGTCATGTTCAGCAGTAAAAGGTGGGAGAAGAAGATGGAAGAGTGGGGACTTTTGGAGTGATGGTGTTTCTCTTCCCAAGTAACTGTTACATGTGGTGGAGCTTTGCTGTTCTACAGGTTGCCGAATACCTGCCTGGCCATGGAAAGCGGTGAATTAATTCCTCGTTTCTCTTTGCTCGTGTACACAGCTCTTGCTTTCCCCGTTGAACTGTCTTTATCTCAACCCTTGAGCTTTATCACTTTTACCCTTCCAGTTCTTCCTCCCATCCTGCTGCAGGGGTGCAAGTGAGCAGCTGCAATGTGCTTAATTGCTGTGTTAAACCACAGCATACTCTTGACAGTGTCACTAATCTGCTCTGCCAGTTCCTCCATTTCCCATCTCAACTTTCATCTGCCTTTTACATTTAGAGGTTAAGCTCTACAAAGTAAACATAGTCTTTCTTTCTCTATGCTTTTTCAGCACATACAACCCAGGGAATATTTTTGTGATGTTCACAGATAAGTAAATATGCAATACAGTACAGATTCTGAAGGCTACAAATCAACACACAGACAAAGACTGTGTGGGCAGTTGTTCCTGCTACTCTTGCTCAATGCAAGGACATCTTAATGTATCAGCTTCCTAGGAGCTTCACATCATTTGTGACTGCCTGCAAACCTGTCACACTTCTACACTTGGAAACAAATGCATACTCCCTAAAAAGTACCCATAGTGGGACAACTGTAATAGGCTGTTGGGTAATAAGATACTTGCATTTCCTTAGCGCTATTAGCTGTCCAAATGACATTCTTAGTGTTCCGTCTGAGCTAGTCATGGTGCTTAACGCTTACAGCTTTCTTACCAGTTTGAAAAGGTAACCCACACCAAAGTGCACTGTGCCTATAGAGAAAGTGCACTGAAGTGACTTGAATAACAAGGAATCCAAGAGTAATGATGAGTTTGCAGTCATTCATCTGGTCATTCAACAGAACTAGAAGAAATTATATCATTCTAGTAGTAGAATAGGAATCTGGAAATCTGAGAACTGAAGGTTACAGCAGAGTTGGTTCATAAGATATTAAAATAGACAAAAACATTTTAAGAACATGATTAATGAATTACCAAGTGTCTTAAATATAAAAACATTAAAATGTATAATAGAATGTGTATTTACAACAAGTCTTCATAGTTTAATTAGCTTCAATATAGAATGATGTAAAATTACTTCATGTGGAATACCTGTCTACATGGCACTTGTGTAATATCTTTAACTGGCATTTATTGGGATTGAGCTCCTTTGTGGTATTGCCTTTCCTGAAAAATGTGCCATTCCCACATACTATTTTACTGAAATCAGTATGTGCCACTGAGTGCTGTTTCTTTTTTTAGTCTGCATGTTATATAATCCATATCCTGATATATATTCAGTCAGAATACTTAAGCCTAACAATCACCTCCAAACCAAAATCGTTTTAAAATAGCTCAGAGTAGATCTAAATTAATTTCTCTTTTCTGTTATGAAAATAACAAAAAAAAGGTAAAAATATTTTTCTAATCTTAGTGTTGTCTATATAATTATTTAATCTTTTTATGTATTTTCTGCTTTCCGTATCCTTCCTTTCTTATTGCTCCCATTTTTCATACTTTATATCGTTTCATACTTACTTCATGCTCTTTCCATGTCTTTTTACAGTCTTACCTCTTGTGATTTTCTAGTCCCTTTCCCCAACTCTTTCTTTCACTGAAGGTTTCCTTCTTACTTCTGATGGGGATGTGCTAGAGCAAACTCGGGTAAATTGCAGTTTGGTTTCTAGTTCTGTGGCCAGTGCTTCAGGAGTCCATTCCTCTCCCCATCTCTCTCTAGCCCAATCTAGAAAAGCAAGATAATTAAGCTGACTCCTGTGTGGTTAGTTTTAAGACATACTGTCGGAAAGCTCCTTTAAACACATTACTCTGTTTCTCTATTACACCTCTTCTCTACCTCAGTGACCCCCTCAGTACTCATTATTTTCAGCTCCTCAACTAACCTTAAGCTCCCATTCTCCTCCCCTCCTCCTCCACCTTCCATCTTCTAACAATAGCATTTTCGATGTGGATCTTCAACACAGTAGGGGCATTACTAATTCTGCTGTTTTGTGCAGATTATGTATCAGCTGCATTCACTTTATCTCTATCTTGAAGGAGAGCTGTTGCAGCCCTTAAGTGATGGGTTCCATTGATTTCAGCTGACTGATGTCAGTAAAGAACATTATGATACTACAACACCTGATTTTAGTTATAAAAATGAGCCTTAGAAAGATGAGAAACGTTCAGTTATGAATACCAGTTCTGGTGTCCTGTGAAATCTTGTAAATGAAAATGTGTGCTTGTGAAGCCAGCCCTCACATGTTCATTCATGAGGTTATTTAAGTCATGGTTGTGTGGTTCTATGCCTTTGGGAAAAGACTTAAACAAGAACAACTTGGAAATTATAATGCTAATGTCAAGCAGAAATCACATGTTAGCCATATCTTGACTCTGTGCTGAGGAAGAGATATGCCCTGTCAGTGTTAATGCGTTTCTGCATCCATAGTCATTTGCTATGGACCTATTTTTTTTGTTTGTCTAAACAGCCTTTGGCTTTGAAGGATCTTAATCACTTTCAGTGAAGGAGTAGGAAACAGTCAAAGCCTGCCAGTGTTAAGTGCCTCAGACTACAGTGCCAAAGTGCTATTCAGTAAGTCATAAAATAAAATGGTCTCAGTCTATATGGCTGTAGTGAAATAAAATACAGTCACCAACATTCTGATGTTACTCTCAGGAACTAAATATTCACACTTCATAACTGTGGAGATGATGTAGAGAGTGAAGGAAAGATGATGGAACATATTGTAGTATCTATGGGTTGCAAAGTCTTAAACTACAGACCATATCAGACTAGGCTATGGGTCATAAAAGTTAAGCAACACTGGTTTTATCCTGCCTTAGACAGAAGAGCACCTAGGATAGATAAAGGAATTGTTTGAATGCTCATAATTTTTGGTAAACACTGATTTGTGTTCCAGTTACATGCCCTATCACTGCTGATCACTCTAAAATCCCATGGCACTTTGTGAAAGAACACAATTTTACCTCTGATCTCATAATCACAGCGACACATCCTGCCATTCTAACTGGAACCACTGTTTTTCACTGACTGCTCCAGGCCCAAGTTCTGTATTTAGGCTTACTGTGGGCTGTTATGTAGCTGCTGTTTTCTCTGGTCAGCAGTTCAGCTGAGGGCTTCTGGAAAGATGCAATTCCAAGAAACCACTGGAAGCAGGCCAGTGAAGATATACTGCTGGTGATTTATTTTGATTTTTATTCTTCAGATGAAAAAAAAAAAATCAAGGCTAGATATAAGATTAATAGAAAAAAGCAACTCCCAGACCACCAAAAGAAACCAGAAACAAAAAAATATACCAATGTTGCACTGATTATGGAATACTTGGAGTATTTTCCAAACTGCTATGATTAAGATGTATTAACAGTAAGCAAAGCTTTCTCTTGTTCTGTAATAAATCTAGAGTATCTTCACTGAAACAAATAGTTTACTTGAATTCATGCAAGAATATGAGTGGAAAATATGTTGATTCTTTCTAAGAAAAACAAATTACCATTCTATGAAATGAAAAAATCATCAGAAATGTTAGAACTATGAAATTACAAAATGCTATTTGCGTATGTATCGCAATGTTTGCAGGACATGCACTGTGAAGCATATTCGAGTCAGGAATTTAGCAAGATGCAGAAAACCATGACACATTATGCCAAGTAGTAATAATTAATTTCTCAAAAGGTGCCTGAAGAAGCATACCAGTTTTACCCTTTAAAAGGGGTAAGATAACCAGCAATTATTTGAGAGCAAGAGAAGATTTTCTCTGGGGACAACTTATTTAGTCACTGTGCACATGAAAGATTCTTTCAGGAACAGTTTTTGATGAACAGTCAGAGAGAGAGTAATCTAGAGCAGTGGGCATTCAGGATTCATGTGGTAATTCTGATTATCTTCCATACTGATGATAATGCTTGACCAGTTGCCTTTTTTTTTTCCTATAAACTGACCCAGCTAAACATCTGTCTATTTAATATGCCTGAGAAGCTATAATTAGAACATTTTTAATTATTCATCATTCTTCACTCTCCTCTTGAGTAATTTGATATGACGGTTCTGAATACTGGAACAACACCTCATTCCAAGGAACTTTCTGACAATCCTTAAGCTGCTGTTTCTCATGTGCAATTTTAGCCAATGCTACAATTTTAAGAAAGTGTGAAGGCTACTATTTGTCTTGGAATATTTGTCTTGTATGAAAATCTGGTACTGTCCCTATCCTGGAAAAATGATGCAAATTTATTTACCTAAATACATACATTTGAGCACAATGGAAAAGGCTTTTTTGTGTTTAAAAATAAAAGTGTATTTTAGGCTTATCAGCCATGCTGGACTGTGACTAATTAAACTTCAAGTTCTCTGTTTATTTGCAGAACAGCTATTATGCAGACAAGGTAAGCAGTGGAATGTTTCCTTCCATTATTTTGGAGGTGTTCTCTTCAAGAGAGTCAGCAAATAGATTACTTTTCTGCTTGTTCAGGATGTGATCAAACCACTGGAGTCAGTATCAAGATCACAGAGACTCCAAGGAGCTCTGGATCTGGGCAAACATTTATGAAAAATACCACAAAAATATTAAGCACACCAAGTTGTGGTGTGTCTTATGGGCACATACCCATTCACATGATCTGGACTGAGGTAACCTACTTGTTTTACATGAGGGATAGCACATGTTCTTGCTCAGCAGAAAACATTTCAATACATTGGTCAAGCAAACCTAAGCTAAAATGCCTCCCTAGAAATGCTGAAAACATGTTTTAAAATGCATGCACCAAGTCACAGGTAAAGCTCATGATTATACCTATAGTCACTGCTAATGTCAGGTTTAAAAATAATGAATATTTAATAGTATAAACCAAGCCAATAATTTTAGGGAAGTGTGATCTACCACAAGTGTGGAATTACATCATTAATTTACTTGATCACATTTGTAAAGCTGCAATGCAAACATATTTAACTCTTTCATCTGCACTGACTTTCCCTAAGTAGTGTGCTCGACACTTGTCTAGAGACAAATACCACTTTTTGTCACCTATCTTATACTTCTCCTGGAATTCCTAGGCCTATGCTTATTTTTTTCTGTAATCTTGGTGAGGCTAATGAACTGTTTAGTTTCTACTCAGGTTCCTACATACAAATCCAAAATCACCTCTTTTATGTGATATGAGACTATTTCAGGCAGTGCCGCATGACTGGTGACAGCTGATAACAGAAAGTATGCTGAAAGGTATCCTGAAACACTGCCACCCAGGCTTTATGCAGGGGACATGCTCTTCTTGCTGTAGACCTGGCATTCCCCAGTGAACACATTTCAAGCTACTGCCTATACAAAGGTCCAGGATTAAATCTTGAACCTCCCACTGCCATTGTGGACTGATTCCTATGTAGAAGCAGACTAAGCAACATGAGGTGGCCACAAAAGGATACATAAATATATATTCAGAGATGTTGCTGCTGTAGGGAGAAGATTCATGCAGCCAAAGCTCAGCTGGAGTTGAAGCTGGCCAGAAACGTGGGAGACAATAAAAATAGTTTTTTCGAGTATATTAATGGCAATAAGCAGTATGGAAATATCGTTAGAGGGCTGGGCAATCACTAACCATATGAAGTTAAACAAGGGAAAGTGCTGGATTCTCCACCTGGGATGGGGCAACCCTGGATGTACAGGCAGACTGGGGAAGCAGTGCCACGGAAAGGGACCTGGGGGTCCTGGTTGATGGCTAGTTGAATATGAGTCAGCAGTGCCCTGGCAGCCAGGAGGGCCAACCATGTCCTGGGGGGCATCAGGCAAAGCATCACCAGCCAGGCAAGGGAGGGGATTGTCCTGCTCTGCTCTGAGCTGGGGTGGCCTCACCTTGAATATTGTGTGCAGTTTTGGGTGCCACAATATAGGAAAGATATTAACTACTAGAGAGGGTCCAAAGGAGGGCAACAAAGATGGTGAAGAGCCTTGAGGGGAAGCTATATGAGGAGTGGCTGAGGTCACTTGGTCTGTTCAACCTGGAGGAGACTGAGGGGAGACCTCATTGCAGTCTACAACTTCCTCATGAGGGGAAGAGGAGGGGCAGGCACTGATCTCTTCTCTGTGGTGATCAGTAACAAAACATGAGAGAATGGCCCAGACTTGTCTCAGGGGAGGTTTAGGTTGGATATTAGGAAAAGGTTCTTTGCCTAGAAGGTGGTTGGGCACTGGAACAGGCTCCCTAGGGAAGTGGTCACAGCATCAAGCCTGACAGAGTTCAAGAAGTGTTTGCACAATACTCTCCGGCCCATGGTGTGACTTTGGAGATGGTCCTGTGCAGGGCTGGGAGTTGGACTCAGTGATCCTTGTGGGACCTTTCCAACTTAGCATATTCTGTGATTCTGTGAAATAGAAATAGCTATAAAAATAGAGATAGCTATATTACTTTTTTTTTTAAACTCCTTCCACCTCTGAGCTAGACTAAAGGCTTCCATATGGAGTGCTTGCCTATTTTGCTGAGTGACTGTTGCTATTATACCTCCCCCTGCCTTTCTCAGCCAGTTAAACTCAGTCTCTTTCTGAGAATACTACACCTTCTGAAAAGATGGGGACAGACATTATGCCATCTCCTCAGACAGATGTGGAAGAGAATGGCTGACAGGGTATGCCTTCTAAAAAGTAGCAGAGTTGATGTTGCTGTGCTTATCTAGCCTCAGGTTCAAACAGTAACACCTGAGGACTATTTTTTTTGAGACAGCAAGCCTTCTGCACACCTGGAGTGCTGTAGTGCAGGTGCTACAAGTAGGAGCCTTGATTTCTTAGTGTGAATGGAGATACAGGGTGGGTTGCAGTTTTCCTGTCAGCATGAATGTATGGGTGAGTAGGAACATTAGTGGGGGCATGTTACTAAGTAAAGGTGCTTGCAAGAGTTAGTGGGGGTCTGTTGCTTCCCCTTTCTCCAGCTGGTTGGGGTGGCCTGATCACTATCCCTCCTTCGTGTATGCAAATGGTGTAGACATTCCCCATGCAGTGCTCCAAGGGACAATTCTTTGCAGCTTTTGTGCCTGCTAGGTCAAAGAAGCCCTTTGTAATATTTCTTCTGGTTCTGTGGGGCAGAGCAGAGTGGGTGGCAGGCTGCAGGGACTCAATTTCTTGTTAATAATTTTGGAGTTTTCCTACCTGTCTCAGGTGTATTAGAAAATGCACTCCAGGTTTATTCCTGATGGAATTAATGGTTATGGAAGTACCACATCTCAGCAAAAACTTTCTTTGTACCTCTGGATTCTGTGTAAGGCCAGAAAGAGTATTTATAAGGAGACGGGTGATGGACTGAAAACATTCTTTCTCCTGGCCCCATTCTCATTCTGTCCCAATGAAAAAAAAAAAAACACACCAAAAACCACATTGCACCTCTGCATTGAGATTATCCTCTGCAAAATCATGGGGTGGTTTGCATTTGAAGGGACCTTTAAAGGCCATCTCCTCTAACCTCCCTGCAGTGAGCAAGGACATCTTCAACTACATCAGGTTGTTCAGAGCCCCGTCCAACCTGGCCTTGAATGTTTGCAGAGATGGGGCATCCACCACCTCTCTGGGCAACCTGTTCTAATATCTCAACACCCTCATCATAAAAAAATTATCTCTAATTACAGTGAGCTCGAGGTGGGTGTACAAATCTGGATGTCTCAAATCCAAGGCAGGGCCTTTGTATTTATTAAGAATACACATATGAAATTGTGCATAGGTAAAGAAAGTCTAATTGTTTAACAAGCTGAAGATAGGGCTGCATATCTGTATTTAATATTGAGAATACTTGCCCATACAAAATCTCCCCTACCCATTTTCTGTCAAAAGTCTTACATAAATTAGATATTTGTGTGCAGAATTCAACAAAAGATTTTTTTTCTACCTCCTCCTTTGAAGCATAACATCTATGACCTTAGCAAGGTTTTATATTTTTCTTCCTCCTACATTTCTAGATGCCAATATAAATACATGCCATTATATTTAGAGAATTTTGACATGTTTTTCAGGTGTTGTGACAGCTATTTCTACAAATGCTTTAATGGAGCAGTTGTGTTTAAAATACCAACAAAGGCCATGGACTGAAACGCTGAGACTTGTTTATTTTTGCATGGTAAGAATCACAGGTTAGGTGAGAAGGATATGTGGTGTAAGAGCAGGTTGTCACGGTAGTTAAAAAACTGCTTGATTTTTAAAAAAAACCAAGCAAAGCCAACCAAACAAAAAATTCAACCCAAAAATAAGCGAAAGAAAACCCCATCAAAAACCTGGTGCCTAGTATAGCCTGGCTCCTGATTTTTCTTACAACGATGAATACAAAAATTTTCCTTACTAATTTTAACACTTTAGGGGTTGCTTCTTGCTTTATTTTAACTATTCAGGAGTTAGTGCTGATTGTCTAATACTTTAGGTTATTTTCCATTCATTCTCATAACCATATTCATGGTATGTAAAGACAATTTATTGCCCATAGGACTGGGAGAAAATACTGTTTTTTAGGAACTGGTCTGAAACCTGCTATCTAGACTTTCTCCTGTTGTGACGTACCTTAAGTCACTCCAGGCTTCCTGCCCTTCCAGTAGCTAATTTAAGAATCATATTTGTAAAAAGCAGATTAGCACAACTGCTGTGAGCTTAGTATAAAAAGTCTCATTAGTTTCCATGCTTCTTTTTATTAATGCTTAACTCAAGCCTTGCTCTGAAAACAGTGTCCTGAATTTGAACATAGTGAAAATTCTTCAGCAGTGAATGTTCTCTGTGAATTGAAGTGTGAAATGAGAAGTTTTCAGACAAGAGCTTGAAGAGAAGCTGGGAGAGTTTGCTTGCTACTTAAGTGCCTATCTTCAGCTGAAACTTTCACTATACTCTAACCAAGTACACCTGTGGCACTTAATGATCTCTTCTATTCGCTCAGGCATATTCCTTCTAAAATGAAAACACAAACAAGTATTTTCTTAGTTTATCTCTAGCATCACAATGAAATTAGCTAACATGTCTTGTGATCAGCTCAAAAGAAAAGGGAATGGAAGGCTGCTCCCTGCTCCAAAGGCATCTGGTATGTAATTACTACACAATAATGTTTTCACAAATCCATTCAGTGCTGCCTCTTTAGAAATGACTACAATCATAGGTAAACCTGTTTGACAAAAACAAATAACCATTGTTTTGTAGTACTGAGAATCCGTGCTGTGTCTCAGCTAGTATTTTAAGGAGTCTTTCTCTGTCTCTTGTTTTCACAAATGTGCCAGGATAACCCACTGCGAAGGCCTGTCAGCCATGCTCCAGACAGTCCATTGCTTTCTTGCATGGAGAAGATAGAGAGGACATTACATGGTAATGAGCTGTTGGATAACTCAAAGTGTATTTTTAGCGTTCTGTGGAATCTCCCCATCCTTTTCTGTTGCTGATATTCTGCACAAAGGGGTCAAATGTACAAACACAGAGGTGGATATGAGACAAGGGACTTGTGACTCATTTTTGGGCTAAACTTTCAGGTGATAGCTATTCTTAAATACTGAGAATAATCTCTACCCAGCACAGCATTTATTAATCCTAGAGTAATAGTTGTCATTAATAACAAGTCATTCATGCAACGCTATTTTCTCATTACCTAAATCATACCATTTAAAGCAGGATAAAACTGGTTCTACTTCTTGCTCACTGCAGTCTGATTAAATTGCATTTCTGGTTTTTGCAGCTAAATCCATGTTTTCTGTGATGAATGCATTGGAATCTTTATCCAGACAAAAAGGGTAAGTTTGTTTATGAATAAATGCAAATGAGCAAGCATGGCCTCAAGTCCAGTGAGGAATACCATCTGGATGGCTTGTCAACAATACTATTTTTGAATTGGTGTTCTAATGAAGTGTATTACTTGGAACTGGCATAACTGCCTATTTTGTTTAGCCCTTTGTGGAGGAGGTTGTTGGGTGAAGAGAGGACAGGAATGCCTAGGTCCCAAAGCTGCAGACTGAGCTTAATAGTTTTCAGCAGATCAACAGGATAATGCAAAGAGCAGAGCACAAATATATTGCCTGGTTGGGTATTTTTCAGAAGCTGAGCTAAGGAAGTTATTTTTGAAGCATCCCTGGTGTCTCTTCCCACGATCAAGTGAACTATCCCCATTTCCTTTCTTCATGTGACAGAATTTGTAGATATACAAGCTTTTTTTTCTTTTCCTTTTTCTCTTTTTCCTCTCCTCAGACTTAATGTTCATGTTAGTCCCAGTGGGACTGCCTGCTACATAACATCAATGATGTTTTATTTAGAAGTTCAGCTGGAGAAGGATGGAAATCTGATGGATGTAAAGTTGGCTCACTTTGGAGAAGCTCCTGTGGTAAAATTAATTTTCTGCCTCTCATCTCCTTGTAGTCTCTCACCTAGCCTCCAGCTGCCATGTCAGAAAGGCTTTGGCTTCCTTTTGGTCTTGTCACACCTGCAAGCCTGTACATGACACTAAGTACTTCTTTAGGCATCTGAATCTCTCGCCTAGACTTAGAACTCGGTTACAAATACTAAATACTCTAGTGCTAAATATTATGGTAAAAGTCAGCTGATGTGCCCACCTTCCAAAAATTTTGTGGTATCCCACCTAAATATTTGTATTCTCATTCCTCAGTGTTACCAGTGTACAGTAAATAACAGGTGTTTTAAGTATTTTCCTACTAAGGAAATATATAATCTCAGTGGATGTCTTGGAGCTATTCTGGTTTTGCCTTCTTTAAGAGTCTGTGTATTCCTACTAGTGGGGACGTTTTTCTTGCAAAATTTCCATTATTCACAAAATATCACCCTGAAGTTCACATCAGTTGTTAAGTGTTATAGACAATCCTTCAGATCAAAGATATAACAAGCTGTTGGGGGGGACAGGGATTATAAAGTCTGGTTTTTATCAGTAAGTATCCAAATTATTACATTACTTTGAAGTTAACTTTGTCCTTTATTTTTAGTTGCAGTCAGCCCAGGAATTTCAGATTGTTCTGTTTAACCAGCACAGGGCTGTTGATCAGTGAGTGCTGGATGGAAATGCATACCCAGAGAATTCTAGCACTGTAACAGCCAATAAAAGAAAAACCGGGCTGGCTAAGATGCATTTGTTTGTTTTTTTTTTTCTAGAAAGAGATTTACCAACAAACTATTTCTATTAATTTTATCTTCTTTCACAGAGCCTTTGTTCTTCCAATTATTAGAGTAATATTATGTTTTTACTATTGTACTGTTAGTCTGGTTTTTGTGTGTTGGGGTTTTTTTAAGCTAACCATTGAGCTACTTAAAAGTAATGGGGAACAAGCTTATCATTACCAATTAAATGCTTTTAAGAGATGCTTCACAAAGGATGGCAAGAATGATGAAATTCCTCTCTTATTCCTGTAGGTTTGTGATGACTTGGTGCAGCTTCTAAGGTAAACAGTCATGTGCAGGATTTCTTTTGAATGGAAAGGAATACCTGAGGCTCGAATGGTTTCACTGTAAAAACTGAAGAGAAAAAATAAAAAGAGAATCAGGAACCAAAAATATGAATCCAGAAAATGACAGAACTGACACCTTTTTGGATTCCATTTAAGTGGGCAGTTGCTTCCAGTGCTCCATATTGGAAGTTTGTGGTCATTGTATCTGTTATTACCTGCTTCCGATTTGTAAATTCAAGGCTAAAACTGTAGCAACATTAATTTTGAAAATATACTCCAGGCATTACTTATTTCTCAAGTCACTCCACTGAAAACAGCTAAAATGCATCTGTTTCAATGGAGAAAGGATAAAGAGTACTCCCCAATACATTGGCTCTAGTTGCCAGTTGAACACAGCCTTTGAATACTGGCATTTGTGTTGATTGCAAGAATTATAGAACTTATAATTGAACCCATAGTTTTGGTAATGGACTGATGATGACAATTCAGAACTGGCAGATTGACAGATCCAAACTAGATATTACTTTTCCCTTTCTCCTTCCATCAAATACTAAATAGTCTTTGTATTGTCCTTATGCAAATGTTTTAAATTACATGTCCATCAGGTTTCTGTCACAGCAGTGAAAGCAAGCTGGTATTACATGGCCTGAGTTTGTTTGCGAATGCATAGAAGAACGTGTTACTTGAATTTTCTCATGTGGTAGTAGGGCACTATATATACATTCTTTTATCATTATTACCATGTTCTGTTCTGTCTGAAAAGTTGCTGTTCCAGGTCAGGCCACCACTTTAAACATCTATTTAAAAATTCTCTAGCCAGTATGATCACGGTTCCAGGTTTTACTAATAATAAGTATATTTAAGAAATTGGATTCTTTTGTAAATACCTTGGCAGAATAGTTGAAAAGGAAGGTAGAGAGAGAAAGAATATCATTGACCTTGAGTGTTTCATCTCTCTTCTAAGTGGACCTATTATGCATTATCAGTTTTCCCAGCCTTCTCATTCCTCAGAAATTAAGTTATATTAGCTTAATGGGTATCAACAGCTATGTCTTAAAGCTTTAACTTGCATTTTCCTAGATTTTTGACTTCCAGTGATGTTAACTGCTGGAAGTTTGGCTATGAGCGAATATCGTTACCGATGGTACTGTGGGTACTACTTGTCTGCCCTCCTGGTTTTGTTAGGATTTGTCAAAAAGCACAAGTATACCTTCTACACCTTTTAGTGTAGTATTTTATTTGTTTGCAAGGCAGCTTGTTTTATGTGTAATGTTTCCTGTGAGTCTCAAAGTAACTATGAAATCATGATGAACCAGCCAGCTAATGCAGAGTCATGCAAGAGCTGAGTGACTTGTTTAGGTTCCTGTTCTGAAAGGATTTGTTCCAATATGAAAGTCCAGTCAGGCTTTTTTTGTCTCTGGTGATCCACGTTGTAGCTGCATCTACACAGGTCTTCTTGAGTACAGATGTTGGCATGACTGCAGCACCAGAGAATCTACTAAGACCTGTAAAACTCAGTAAAATCTACTGAAGCAGGTGAGTTAATACCTGGTGGGTTAGTCTGAGCAGAGCTGCAGACTAGCAGAGCTAGTCTGTGATATCTGTGGGAATTCTGGGTTTTGAGCAGTCTGAACCATTCCTTCATAAACCAAGCCACTTGTCCCATTCTTTTTTTTGTATTATTTTTATCAATTATATTGAGGGCATCTCTCACAAGGTGCTGCGAAGTGCAGCATTAATACAATACTTGGTATTTTGATGAAGAGAGCAATGTATACATGTGGCATTAAGGGAATGACAAGCTTTACTGGAGCATCAAGAAAAGTGTTTTGCAACTGATGAGCTGTCAAATTTTGTCTCATGTATGTTTATTGCTTTTAGTAGTGCCTATTTCAGTGGCAGTTTCAGCTATAATCACAATGCTTCTTGCAACAAAAACAAGGATTCACATTTCCTGGTATTTTCTAAGAAAATTGAAAAGCAGTACTGCTACTTGCCAGATCTGATAAGGAGGAAGCACCTCTGAAATCATGCTTTTTCTAGCAAGTTGCATATAAAAGAGTTATTTTCCATCTCATTTAGTAGTGTAATAGCAATTATTTCTTTTTGTTAGGATGAAGAACTATGATGCCTTTGGAAGGATTTTAGAAGACCTGTCAAATATGTATCAAATTCCAGGAAACAGGTTGCAGTTAGTTTTTACTTGAAAAACTTTTAAAATCAATAACCTTGCATTTGTTCACTTACAAAAATAATAAATTGTCTTCTCTCTCTCCCAGTGAAATGAAAGCTAAGGGATATCTTGCTTTGCAGGCCCTTGAAAAAGACCTTTACTCAATGTCTCTTCTGGACAGGTAACTTAAAGTCTGTCTTTGTCCCTTCACCTACACCCCTTCATTTCACTAAAGAACAAGTTAACCGATCTAATTATATAGAATGATATGGAATGCTAATGAGTTTTCTCCCACTGGAAAGCTTGAAGCCTTTCTGCAGTTTGTCAACACCAGGCATGCCAAACAAGATCTACTGAACTCCTGTGCTTTATCTAAGACTTTCTGGGAAACTGGTTGGTTGCAGAGCTTGGGTGTGTGTGCATGTGACCACCCACTGGGAGCAAACAGTGAATCTGAAAGTCAGCTGTCATGTTTAGATTGCCCTGTGGCAGAAGTAAAATATACCTTTTGGGGTCCTGCTGTTTAGGTATCTCAATTTGTGCTCAGGTTTTAGATCAGGAGTTGTGGATGCCCTCCTTCCTTTTCTCATTTCTCCTTTTAAAGAATAGGATTACAGTGGATGGGGAACAGATTTTTCTAAAGCCTTGTAATTGTACAAGGTTTTTCATTCTTTTCAGAAAATCAGAATTGAGGGCAATGTTTTCCTTCTGGATTTTTGAAGTATCTTTTCTGATATTTTGCCTATTAAGTACTCTTGGCAGGTATAGCCTTCTTGAAGCACACTCTTGGTTTATTTTTGCACAGTGTTCCCTTATGAAGCATAATAACACTGTGAACTAATATACTGTATCCTTGCTGGTCACTGATCTCAGTAAGTATTATTTATGAGTTAAGTAGATTGTTTGTCCCATCTGCAATGCAGAGCTTTAGTACACAGCTATGTAAATGTGTGGCTGTACGTATTCAGCTATATGAACACATCTGAGGTTAGAGACTGGTTCTGTTTTAGTTTATCCAGGTTATCTCCTCATTCTTTGCTTAACCAATTACCACTAACACTTTTGACCCCCTTCATTTCTGATAAATAGTACATCAAAGTGCAACATGAAACAGCTCAGATACAGGGTTGAAACTGGAAGCCCAAGTCCTAGAAGTAATGTATGATTGGAATGATGGTGTTTGGAAGATGTCATAACAAATGGAGACACAATCCACTTGCAAGAAAGCATCATCTCCCTTTGATTAAGAATACAAATTATGGTTTACGTTAGCCTAGCTAGCTCTGTAACTCAGGAAACACTAATCAAGATGTGTTTTGAACTAGAACACAGGATGTAAACAGAGTTACTGAAATACTTCATGGAAAAGTAGGACACCTGGTGCCAAGAACCGGAGGTGATTTTTTTCTTTTTCTCCCTCTTTTCCCTTTTCTGAATTCAAAGGATTGTAATTAAAAAACCCTACCAAGTTGATCTTTGTTTTACAGGAAAGATCCACTATTGTAAATAAAACCTGCTGTAGGGACTTATTGTGCCTGTATTCTCAGATAACGTACAGACATACAGAAGGAGAAAATACAAGGAGGCCAGGTGGTTTATCAGCTGCTGCAACATTGACTTTGCCGCAGCTTAAAAGCAAAGCCAGCAATATTCTGAGGTTAGGTGGGAAACCACAGTTTAGAGTAACCATGAGATGACAGCAGCAGTAACTGAGAGAATGCTCTGGTTGCCTAAAAGGCAAATATAGCCAGTTGATAAGTTTTTTGGCTCATCTGCACTGTCAGAAGTGAGCTTTAACCATTAATGTGTTCAGAAAAGTACTTCTAATACATGTTGCCACTATCCTATTGTACAGTTTGTGTCCCTTATGTGAATGTCCCTTATGCAAGTAGTGCAACTTTCCCTTTTATTTTGGAGTCTTCACTGAAAGCTAGAAGTTCAGCTAATATTTTTAAGGCTGAACAACAGGCTATTGTGCAAGAGAAATTAACTTAATCTGATGATTTCAAAGATATCTGATATAAGATTTAGCTCTTATATGCTAAGAAAATCCTGTGATTTGAACATAAATTGTAATTAGAGATGTACTCTTACGAGGAATCCCCTCTGCCCATCTACACTGTTGGTTTTTTTCACCTTTGTTTCAAGGTATTTAACATATTTCCTCTGACCTTTGTAGTAAACATTATTTTTCTTTTTTTATTCCTCAGGAACTCCTATGAACATTGAATTTTACATTTCTCCCTATCAAATTTTGGAAGCAGAACTAAATCCTGGTAAAGCTAGAAAAGCAGAAATAACTGATAAGTTTTTCAGTGCTACCTGTTTCATTAATGTTAATTAATGAAACTAAGAAATAAAATTCTAATTTAGTAGAACTATTTATGAGATGCATTTTAGCACAATTTTAGTGTCCATCAGGAAACTACTTGCCATTTCTTGGATATTGACTCAAATTGTAGTGATATCACACAAAAACCTGCCTAATTCAGCATGAAAAATAACCAGTGATGTTTTTGATCTGTTTCATAGTGTGTCTCAAAAGAAGCTATTGCTGCTGTCATCTTTGGGCAACTCTGGCTTTTTGGGTGTGGTCTGTGCAGACCACAGACTTCTCTCTGCCTGCATCACTGTGGCTGTCAGTTGGACCTGACCTTCAAGGACCTTGCATGTTTTGCATGCATAGGATTAATCTACACTGAAAAGAGGAAAATAATGCAATTCTCTTTCTCCCTCAGGTTCCCAGGTTTGTGGAACAAAAACAGTTGTAACTATTGAAGGCACTGATATGCTCCACAAACTTCCTCTTTCTCCACTGATTGTAGACCCTCAATCTGGAGAGGACAGGTGAGGCTCTGGACTTTTCTCAGTACAGAAATGGATTTACAAGTCATCGGCGCTAACTTCAGTATAATTTAGATTTAGCCTCTGCTAAAACAGGCAGCTCTGTTTTATTGATTGCATTATGTTCCATAGCTAAACCCTCTATAATCTGTGGTTTCTACAGTTTTCCCAAATGGACTTTAAAGGTATTGTGTTCATATTTAACTGTGTCAGTTGCACTGAACTGTGGATTTTGAAGCCAGAGCAAGCCACTGGAACAATATTACCTAACTTCCTAGTATTCAACAATCAACTCCTTCATAGTTTCAGAGCAAAGAAAGCATATATTGAAAGATACTACACCTAAAATGTACAAAATAGTTTGTTGTCCCACTGTAGGTATTGATACCTTATTTCTCTCTACCTCAGTGCTGGCTGGCTGGAACGTCTGAAGTAACTTTCCAAAATAAAACACTTTGGAATGATTTATAGCAAACATCACTCAGTTTCAGGTGTCTCATTTTTTCTTTCTGCCAGTTTTCACATTAAGCATGTTTTAATATGTTAAAGTTGCATTTATAAAGCAAAACTTTTCTCAAGTCAGAAGTCTGGAATATAATAAACTGCTAGGGATCCAATAGTGGCCTTGCACTAAGAGTTCTTGGTATGGCAATTTCTGTAGAAAAACTTTCATTATGACAATTTTTTTTCCCAGCAACCCTGCTTTTTTGCAGCTGACTGATGAACTCAGCATGGATTTGCCAGCTCTTTTTGTGCTGAAGTTTCATCAGCCTGTTCCTATGTCCTCATCCAGTATTGAAGATATACACAGGCTCACAGGCATGTTATAATTGTTTTTTAAGACTAAGTACTTCTGTGCGTTGCTTATTTGCTTTTTATTTCCCAGTGTTAATGTTGCAAGAGGAAAAAGTTGTTTTTGGGGCAGAACACAGTCTGTCTTATCAGCTGAAGTGTAACATTTTAGCAACCAGTGCAAAGCACAAAAGTTCTAAGAAAGACATGACAATTACGGACAAAGCTGTTAAAACACTCTACCTCAAATTCCCAATAGCAAAAAAAGGGGAAAAAGAAAAGAGATCAATGGTTTTGTCTTTTCAAAACATTGCTTCTGTTTTTAATATTAGCTTTCATAACCTACAGTCATAACCTAATTGATAATAAAAAAATCACCTGGTTTCAGGAATTCAGATTTCTGGCTTGAAACTAGCTCCGCTGTATGAGCTAATTGTTTGGTCTGCTCTAAAAGACAAATGCAGTGAAGAGTTGTCTACAAATGAATCTTGTTTCTTTGTGGTAAGTATAGTGGGCATTTGACACACTGCGCTGTTGTGCAAAATATGTATACTGAATTATATTTCCCCATAAACAAGCAATGTAGACTTACCAGACCCAAGAGTATTTAAGTGCTCTTTAGGAAATAGTTCAAGTAATTATGAAACAATATTAGATCCTTTCAAGTAAGTGAGTTTCTCATCCTTGTTAATGAAACACTGTGTGCTTGGCTCCTGAAGTCACGCTGATTTGTGTGTAACCTAAATATTTATTCTTCTAAAAATTGCTCAGAACTTTATCATTAATGCCTTAAAAAGAAAGAAACTTATTGGCTGGTGTGAGAAGCAAGTCCCAAGAAGGTACTTACCTAGATTTTTGAAGGTCTTTATCATGCTGTATGTCACACTGTTTTAACAAATGAGATTTCTTAAATAGATAGCACTGAGAATACTGATTTCTTTTAAAGGGATTGGCAGGAAGAAAACTATAAAGTGTTAAACCAGCGATGTCAATTGCTGTCTAGAGACAAGGTTGTTTAACTGAAGAAGGCTTCCCTTTTAATAACTCCATTATTAAAAATAGTCAATTAGGCTGCATTAAATGTAAAAATTTTAGAATAGAAAATGGTAGCTGAGATGCCTTCTGCCAGACTTACGTACAGGGCAACTACAAGACAATCTTCAAAGACCTACTTTTTTGTTTGCTAGGTAACATTAATTTTGCAGATCATGGCAACAAAAGAAGAGGGTACTTTTTTTCTGTTCCACTAGCAGTGTTAGCAGAGCCCATTACCTACTTAGTTCTTGGACTTTGAGGTGGTAGTACAGAAGGTTGTAGTAAGTTTACGCTATGCTAAAGTAATGTTTGGCAAAGCTCTTATCTGTAAAACTGGTAAGATGAAATTAATCTTTCACTTCTGTTAGATACACATGAAAGGCCCTTTAACTTTTCAGAAATTCCCTAAAATATTAGTACTTGCTGGGAGATTGTTTTACTTCTGAGTTTAAATACTTTATTTCTAGAATAAATTACAAAATTGCACTCTAACCTTGAAATAAGTGTAGGGGAAATCCTTTTGCTCCACGAACACACAAGGAAAAGCTCTTTTATTCTGCTCTTCAGTTTTTCTTAATGTAGATCCTGCTAATTAACAGCCCTGCCCTGTTCTTAAGGTGATAGGTCTCATTTGGCATCTTGAAGTAGATAACACAATATTGCACTTCTAACTTTGTCACAGAATCACTGTCAATGTGGACAGGTGACAAATTTTTCTTACTATCACTTCCTCCTCTACCAATGAATCATGAGGAGATATTCCAGCAAAACATGCTTCTCCAAAGAAAGTAGTAGTGATGGAGGGAGGAACAACATATGATGTTCGAAAGAGATTTCAGGCAAAACTGCTATCCTTTTTGTGCAACTGTCAAACAGCACTACTATGGTATTATTGTGAGAGTAAATCTTGGTTGATAGAACATATGCTATCACATTTCTGTTTCTATTGTTGTAGAATATAACAGTGTTTATTATTATTATTATTTAGTGTTTATTATTATTGTTATTCCAACTGTTATAGAATATTTTCTCTTTTCTCTAACATTTCTATAGCCTACAGGGCTCTTAAAAATAGTTGGAAGGATTGATGGTACTTGAACTCCTGACCACTTGGCTCTAGGTATATTCACCTAATTTGAATGTGTTTGGGAGGGACAGGGGATCTCATTTAGCTTCCTTATCTAAGCATTATATTTCTACTGAAATGCAGAGACATGATGGACATGTAAGAAATGTATATTTCAAAATTATTATTGTTGTCAGATTTTGCAGTTGCCTGTTAACATCAGACTTTACTTTCCTGTTTTCAGTGCTTGAAATATCACCGTATTTGTTGCTTAGTCTCTTCCAGATTGCCCAAAGCACTGTTACTTCATAAACAAAGGCTCAGAAAAATCAGATTTAGCAGGAGCCTTGGTCAGTAAAATCCCATTTAGCCATCCAAAGTGTGTGCCTGGTGTAATAGAGATTCTTCGACATCAAGTGGCATATAACACTCTTATTAGCAGCTGTGTCTCTGACAAGCATATAAATGAAGGTAAATTGTGTGGTTGGAAGTGATGGTAGAGTATTAGAGAGAAAGTAGGTTCTAAGCTGGATGTTAACAGATTTTTCTGCTCCCTTGCCAAAACTGTCATTACTTGTGAAGTATTGTAAATGATAAAAAAATTCTTAACACTGTATTGCATTTTTTCTTTTTTTTTTTTTACTATCTCCTAGGCTTGACACATCTATAAGCATAAACTAAGCTGTCAAAGTAATGAATAATTAGATTCTACTGCATCAGTATTTTTTAAATTCTGGCATATGTTTCAGCCAAAAAGAGTCCAGATTCAGTGGGTGGATATCACTAAACAGTAATTTTATTTCTAGATGATTCAGAACTGCTTTACTTTGAAGTGGTACCACACAGGAACACCAGCTTTTGTGTCTTTTTCCTTCATCCTGTGAAAGAGAATTTAGCCTGTGGTATGTGTGGAATAATTGATACTGTCCTCTTTACTCAGCTGGCAAGGGACTTGGTTCTATCTAGGCTCTTGCCCTATGCTTCTCAGTAACAAGTACATTCTAAGGGCCACTCTCAGTGGTGTGCAGGCCATGAAAAACAGAGTTGCACCTGTGTATAAACTGCTTACTAAAAGGTATTCTGAACCCAGAATAAAACAGAAAGCAAATGAAAATATTCAAATCCTGTTTTGTCTTGGCCTGCATTTAATTAATAAATGGTAGCTTCTATTTGTGATTTAAATGTATTAGGAAAAAGCATGTCATGCAACTGTGTTGCTGCAAACTCCTGTCCACTGACTTCAGTCTTACGTCTCTTCAAGCATCAAAATAAAAGGATGGTTTTCAATGTTTGTAATTATTTCAAAACAAGCATTTTTTGTTCTGTTCCTTCTTAGTGATGATTGATGTTATAACCTCCAGAGAAGTCCACTGTCACCTTCAGTTAAATCCTCAAGATCCAGCTCTAAGTTGTAGTGATGATTTCATAGCAAGAGCTGTGAAGAGGTAAGCAGTTTTATTTCATAACAGTTGGAATGAACATCAGGTGTCCATTTACTGGAAATACCATGCGTGTTCATAATGCCATACACTCAGCAACTGGAAAACTTCACTCAAGGAAAAGGTTGTAATACAGTAGGAATAAGTTACTTCACTGTCTTAAGTATCTCTTTCAAAAATTTTAAACATTAATAGCGATGAAGTGTTTCTAGTAGAAAGCACATGGGAGCAAGGAAAGACTTTTGAATGAAGAGTTTTATCATTTATGCTTTTCTCTTTTGTAAATATGCTTTTCTGAAGACACTAGCTGATGACAGTCTCATGACCAGTATAACTTAGAACAGCATGGAAAGGTCTTTTTACACATCTACCTAATAGCAAACAGTGCTTCTTTTCAGAAAAAAGTGCCATAAGTATGCATACTACTATTATCTGTTTGATAACAACAAGATCAATGTAGGCTGGATTTTGAACCCAACTTAGTTATAAACTAGGTAGTATTTAATTGGAATCATGTTAAGAGTGGGGAAAAAACCTCCTTCAGTGTAGACAGTGTTTTAGAAAAGATATGCTTTCTACCTGTCTTATACAAAACATGAAAGCTACAAAACTCAGCAAGAATGAATATATTTCAACATTATTGGTTTAGGTTTTCATCAGAAGCACCCTTATGACTTTTTTTCTGACCAAACCCTCCTACTCTTTCAATTTGCACCACTGAGTTCAAAGATCCAGCACTGTATTTGTTTCTGGTGCAGCACATGTAGTTTATATTGTGGTTACAGTGTAACACCTGGTTTTATGAGGCAAAAAGATGCAAAGAGGTAGAGCTGTTTTTCATTCTGGTGTCAGCCACAGTTTAAAAAACAGAAGTACTTTAAAGAATGGATGCAGTCTGCATTAGTGACTAATGTGTCTTTCCTTCTTCAGCTGCATGTCAGTCCCAGTTGTCATGAGAGCTATTTTCAGGAATGCTGCCAAGGTGAAAGCTGATAGCAAAACACAAGATATGGATGTAGACACAAAACAACCACATGAACCGCCATCTGAGCAAATTACAGATTCTGACAGTCTCAAAGAAAGCCCTTCTGTGGCTGGTCAGCATGATTTGGTAGTGACAAATAAGCCAAGTATTACAGACAGCACAGAAGAAAATCTCTCCACAGCCAAACTGGAAACTCTGGGTGATAACATGGAAAAAAGTTAGCTCTCATCGAGAACAGAAACTTTGTGCAGAGTGGAGGAAAACTAATTCCATAGCTAGTGTAGAAGCTGTTATGATAGACAAATAAAATCTATTGTTTGATAAGCAAAAAGAAAGTCTGCTTAGTAATTTGTGAAAGGTGTTTCCTCTTTGCAAACTACTAAATATGTAGAAGTAATACCCTTGAATTTGCATTTTTAAACATTCAAATTTGGAAAGTCTAACACTACTCTAGTAACAACCTTTATTCTACCACAATATGGAAGAAATCTCTGTTTAACATACATGATACAGTCTATAACACACACATGCACTTGTAGAAAAGTAATGTTTATCCACGTCAACATTATGCTAAATAAATGGAGAAAAAGTTACTTGAATAATTTTGTACAGACATAATTAATGCAGACAGCCCTATTTGTCCACTATTTCAGAAATAGGTTCAGTAACACTCTTAACTGCAGTTTTGTTTAACCCTAAAGCAGAAGAGGTACTGAATGGCAACCAAACTTATGCTCTACCACCTCTGTGACAGGACAACAGTGTCTTTAGTAAGAAAGCTGTAAACTCAGGTTCTGAAAATCAAGTAATTTTTGCCTTAGTTTTTTTCTGGCCTCAAAGTATGAAAGTGTTTTGTGGGGTTTTTTTGGATTGTTTTTTTTTCTGCAAGTATAGTCAAGTTCACTGTTCAAAATTTTAGTTTGTCTAGACTTGCTTTGTCTCAGATCTGAAGGAGGGTTACAAGCAACTTAAAATAAGCAAACTCTTAACTTACTATAAAACAGTTTAATTAGTGTAAAATAGAGAGAGGCATTCACCAAGAAAAAACTTCCTGAACAGAGCAGTTTACAGCTACAGTTAAGACAAGCAATAAGAAAATGAGTCAAATATAGAATGCTGGCACAGAAATACAAAGTGGTCAGAAATATGTGTTGGCTGATGTGTTTCTAAGAGGTGGTGAATAAGCCTGGCTTCCTTGAAGAGTTTGAGAAAAACATTATGGGAATGTGGGAAAGAGTTCAGGCTTGAGGGACTGGCAAAAGAAATACAAAAATAACACAAGCATGTTCATTAGACTGGAAGTATGTTTAGTGTGGTCTGACAGGGCAAGAGTCTAAGAGTAAAACGTGGAAGTGTCAGTAATTCTGAATTTGAGAAAAATAGTGTATTTTCAGCAAAACAAAATAAATAGAATTGTACAAGGAGGAAAAATAGTTTTGAACTGTGAAAATGCACTGTACAGTGGTTACAAAAGATAAGAGGAAGAATTTGACAAAAGATGAAAAATTCCTGTATTTTATATAATGACTAGAGAGTCACAGCACTCTAGGATAATCAGCAGCAAATCCTGTTCTAATTTGCATATATTTAGCATATCATCAGCAGCAGCTTATTGTGCAAGAGTTGCTTGTCCATAGCACTAGGCATTTATTCTTTAGATAGCAGAGGGAACCAATTTAGAGGGGCTGTTTAATGGACCCGCTTTATTTCCAAATTCCTGCCAAGAGAAGGCGATGGTGAAATGAGAGCTTCTGATGCAGAACAGAAACATGTTTAGTAACTCTCTGGAGAGGTTTAGGTGTCATTGCCCCTTTCTGTCAATGTTACCTTAAGATTAAAAGTGAGGGGTTTTGCCAGGAGCCAAAAGCATAGTGAAGATTTACAGAAATTATTTTTACTGGAAAGTATCAAGATCAGATTTTCCTAAAACAAAGTGATGCATTGGCCTGTACATGGTGCACAAAGGGAGAAGCAAAACTAGTTGAGATAATTTTAAGTACCATGAGACAGAAAAACTAATGTTTCAGTTGCTGGACATGATGGAGTATATCCAATGATAAGCCCAGTTGCTCTACCAGCCAAACAGTCTGCTTTTTAACCCAAGCAAGTGTTGACCTTTCAGGATCTGTGCGGAGGTTTGCCTTGCTGCACTCAGACTGCAAGGAACCAGCCTTACCATTATTTCTACAAATGTTTTCACCAGAGCTGCCACCGTCCTCTTGTTTTCCATCTTTAACTTCCTTGTGCTCTGTCCCAGCTGAAGCTGTGTGATTAAGGTCCATGTCCTCAACAGAGTCTAAAACATGTCTAAGATGTGGCTGTTCTTCAGTAGAATTCAGATACTTAAGCACATCTTCTTCATGCTTTCCAACCACATCAAGAAGATTATTTATCTTACTTAAAGCAGAATCATGTCCATTAAAACGACACCAGGATAAGAGAGCACTGAAAAGTGAACAAAACCAAAAGTGATTATATGTATCTACACAGACCTCCAATTGGCAAAGGCAGATAACAATGTGCCAAGATATCAATGCTATATAAGTGTACGTGTCATTCACATTTTATGGATAATTCAAGCAGTAGACCTAAGTATTAAGCTTCAAGATGAAGATTCAGTTAATTTTGGAAGAGCAACTGAAGGAGGTTTTTCAAGAATGATTACTCTACACCCAGGTAGGCAGTTCCCTGTATTCAAGATCCGAGAATTCTCAGGTTCCTCACTTTGGGCAGTTTTACAATGCACTTGATTTTTTAAATAAAAACAAACAAAAAGTTGCATGCATGTTCCTTCATACACACTCTCCACATGCACTTGACCTTAAGGAGTTTGTAACCTACTTCAGGGTTCCTTTGAACTGGCCACATGTAATCATCAGCTCGGCACCATGTCTGTAGCCTTGATTAAAGCCTTTCTGGAGTGCAAGTTCTTTCCCAGCCTCAACTCCATCCCTATAGCCTTCCTATAATAAGAGCAGTGAAACAGGTTGTTCACAAGATGACAAATTGGACCTATGACAAATGCATAACAATAAAAAAAGTTTAAACATGTATTCAATCTCTTAAATTACAGCTTCTAGATTTGAACATCCCTCACAGCTACACACCCATTGCCAAACCAAAACATGCTTTTTTCAGTGCATTATGATTTACTGACTGTAAGGTCCAGTTCTTTTTCAGAAGTATCCCCAGAAGATCAAAAAATAGGGAAAGTATTGATGCCTTAAGCCCCTAATGGTCTTTTTTATTTTTCTAATATTTGTAAGACTGGTAAGAATTGTAGGTTTTAAAAAGCAGAAACCCCTTTGTCCCCTTGTTCCTTTCCCTTGTTTACACATTCCCTAACCCTTTTACCCCATTCTATGCCTTCCATATCAACCTACCCCTGAATTCAGTAGCAGTGTTTAGTCTTTTGTCAAGGAAAGGCCTAGACTGTTTGGAGAACAGCATATCAGGGCCTAAACCACAGAATACGGTCAAGAATTAGGTAATCATGTACCCTTTGTGCTCTGATGGAGCTGAAGATGATGAAGTAGGTGGTCCCAAAAAGACCCCAGACCCAATTCTCAGGGGGAGGGCCCGGGGCGGACCAGAGGAAGGGCCAAAGGGTGGACACATCTGGGATTGGATGGATAATGTTATAAAACGTAACCTTTCAGGCACGGCTGGCGCCCGTCCTGTAACACCTACTGCCTTGGCAAATAAACCCTTTCTTATCTCACCCCTAATTAGCTGCTCCGGAGATTTTTTTTTCAGCACCAAAATACACAGGCAACAGTATTCTTAGAAAGATAAAAAAAATAAGACAAATCTGCAAGAAAGCATGATTGCTTTTATGATGACCAAGTTCTTTACGAAAAATTCATTTAAGAATACCACATCTAGACTTCTTTTTTCTATCTAAAAAATAAACAGGCTGCCAAGTAGTACTTGGCAGAGTACTCTCCTGTCTGTAATCCATCTACCTGTTCTTCCAAAACTAACTGTTGAGCATTGCTCTTTTATTTGCTAGATCTCACTCAATTCAATAGTTATACCAGAAAAAAAGATGGTGATGGACTGAGTCACATATAAGTACACATAACATTGTGACTGCTTTCTGTAAGAAACAGTTAATGATTGTATGCAAATTAATTTCTTTATATTCTAATCACATTAAGATATAGCACAGAATAATTCTTAATTTTTTCCACACCAAAATTGCAAGTTGTAAGAATGAAAACTCCCATTTGCTCATGAGAAAACTGGTGGCCTTGCAAGAAAAACAGTCAGGAACACAAATATTTGTGTTTTTTTGGTTTTTGCCCAACATACTCTAACTTCCACAACACTTTATGATTTTGCAGTTTCTACTCACAGACATCAGAGGGATTTGTGTAAGAATACTAAACAGCCCCTTAAGAAAGCCAGTCGTTTCAAGGGACTCATATGCAGGAAACTTCCTTGGACAGTAATACACCAGCTCTGCTGTAATAACCTTCTTCATGAACAGCCTACGCAACAGCTTCTTTCCATGTTCTTCAGCCAAATGCTGCTCACCCGTGAGTGAGCAGATGAGCCCTACTGGCCCCACTCTGAATCATAATATATCTGTTGAACTAACCTGTTTATGTACTTGTTTTGTTCCCTGTAGGACTCCAGGGAGCAAGGGCTGTGGAAAGCAACTTTCATAAAATACAGTTTTCACTAGAATAAATCAACCAAAGAACTACACAGACCACAATGCCCAATTGTGGTTGCATGTGGAGTCTCACATCTTACAATCTGACTGATGAATAAACTCTACTTAAATGCCCAGGCATCTCATATTTCTTTATTAGCACTGTTCAGCTGTGTTGGCCCTACATTTACTAGGGTATACCTACACATACAAAGCAAATAGCTTGCATCACAATTCAGCACTGCCTTTTACAAATGCATGTGCTCGTGCACAGGGATCCAATGTCTTTTGGTAAAACAGTACTTTGCTGTGATGACTACTAAGAAGAGTTTCCCTAAATTCCTGCTACATTTTCCTGATATTTAGAAGAAACTAAGCCACAATAACTTTTAAGCAGCCACTCTTGCTTTTCCCTTTAAATCATCCATATGTATATCAAGGTATGTCTCAGTAAATCTAAAATGGCTAAAAAGACTATTAAATAACTTTTATAGAAATACCTTCAATCTTTTTTTCATGGTGCTGTTCCATTCCTTCTGTAGTAGATACATCTCATCTGCATCTTCATCAAATATATCCTCATTGGATTGGCTGACTGCAGCTTGAACCCAGGACATGACAGCAGTGTCCTATGACCTCTGAAAAATTCTCAGAAGTCCCTCTGGTGAAGTGCCAGATTAGAAGTATAGGCAAAAAAATGTGAGTTCTGAAGAGAAGCCAGGTATGAAGCTGATTATTCAACCTGTACGTGGAAACTTGGTGCTGTTTGCCACTGGGGTGCATCTGTCAAGACAGATCATCACTGATGAAGCAACTTCTGAGATTTATGAGAGCAATTAAGAGAGTTTATTCCCATCTTATGGAAGTGACACACATATGCACTTATGGCATACATATATGCCAAGTTAACATTCCTAAATACTGCTGGTACACAGACAGCTGGATGCCAACAGCAGCTGATGAACAGCCCCTTCAGCCTCTCTGTGGTGCCCTAAGTTACACACACAGGTATGCACACAGGTTATATGTATATACACATTTCTCTAGGTTTGTATGTTGTACATACACAATTACCTACACATAGGTAATTACGTACAGAGTCAGTAACTGGAAAGGACTCTAACCTTTGATTTTCAGTTTTCTAGTTATGCCAAATACTTAACAGTCTTATAAATCTTGAACAGCCTTTTATATTTTGAATAAAGAATTAGCAAGTCCTACTGCAGGAGAAAGAAGAAGCTTGCGGATTATTTCGTCTTTTCCAATGAAGAAAACCTCGAGAAGCCTCTCACAACTAATTCATTTATATCGCTGGAAATTTTTATAATCCACAGACGCTGCTCCTTGCGGAGGAGGGAACCGAGGGCCCTGGGACACAACGCGCTGGAGTCCCGGAGGCGCACCCCGCCGTCCCCACATCCCGCCCAGACCTCGGCGGAACTCACAGGCCTCGGCCAGGCCCCGACCCGCCATTTCACGGCCGAGCAGCTGCCCAGCTCCCCAGAAGTGGCCGCGCTGCGAGGAGCCTTCCTTCTCCCCCGCCCGGCGGCAGATGCAGCCCTCCCTTCGCCTCGCCTCTCCGCGCCGCTCACACAGGCCCCGCCGGCCGCATGGCCGCTCACCTCAGTCCCTCACCGCGGCCGCCAGGGCACCTCGCCCCGCCGCTGCTCGCGTGCCGCCATCTTTACTGAGGGCCAACGACCGCCGCTGCCGCCGGAAGCAGTCGAGCAGCGGCAGCCATGTTGGACAGGGGCAAACCCCGCGGACCCCGCAGGAGAACAGCCGTCATCTTGGCCAGCAGTGCTCTGACGTCAGAGCCCAAGGAGACCCTAGCGGCGCCATGTTTAGTGAGGGCGCAGCCCCTCCCGGAGGCGGGACAGGGCGGCCCGCTGGGCGCGCCGGGGTTTGGCCGTCGCTGCGGGGTCTGAGTGCCGGAGGGGGAGGAGAGCCTGCCGCTTCCGTGATCTCCCCTCCAGCTCTCAGGAGACAGCGGAGTGTGCCTGCCCCCGGCGTCCCACAGCGCCGTGAGGTCAGCCCCGGAGGGATCGCGTTCCCCAGGGCACGGAGGTTTCGTCTTCTTCAGTCATAAACGGTGGAATTTTTAAAAAAATCTGCCTTGTTGGCTTCAGAATTCTCAAGGACTTCATGTGAGGCGTGCCCTTAAGCTATTCTCTACAAGATCTAGGTATTACAGTGATAAATCTTTTTAATATGAAAGGCGCCAGCACGAGTGAAGTGTTGCATTGTTCACTTGGACTAGAGAAAACAGTGACATCCCGTTAATGTAAATACAACAGAATAAATAAATACAACATAACCACAACGGTGTTTGTGCATGCTGCACTTGGCTTATGAGCATATAAGTTCAAAGTCAGTTAATCTTCATACAATACACAAAACTTGAATTCAAGTTACGTGTTTCTCCAGAGCCTGCTGCAGTAAATGCCCTGTGTGCTGAGAGCTCTGCGGGCCCTGAGAGGCAGAACATCAGGGAAGCCGATTCCTCATGGGACCACATTCACCCCACAGCCACTGCCAGGTGTCCCACTGGTGACATTCCTTACAACAGGGCTAGGGGCACTGCCATGGACAACCAACTGCAGAGCCTATCTGCACACTGCAAGCACTGAGAGATGAACAATGGTGATGGTGTGCTGCACTCTCATTTCCCTCCTCCCTGCTGCTTTGCAAAAGCCTGTCCTCCTGCCTGTGACCCTTCTTGGATGCTCAATGATGGTTTCATGCTCAGGTATGAGTGGCCAAGTAACCCAAATCTGTCTAGAGATGGATATGTCGGGGGACAAAATGACACTGGTGCCTCTGGATAGCCAAAAATGCATATCTGTTTCTGAGCAGTTACTATACATGTCCATGACTACTGATTTCCTTGCCCAGTTCTGTCACTTCCACCTCCTGCCTGCCATTTTTTTAAACTGGTAACAGTACTGACTATATGCACAATGCACAGTCACAGAAAACCATTCTGGCAACAGAAACTCCTGAACCCTCATGACTGGTCATAATGACACTGCTAAACTTGGGTTAATCCTTTGCTTGTCGTCTTCCACTCTGTCTCCTCAGCCTTTTGCTCTTCTGGAAAACATACAGAGGTCATGGCTCAGGGAAGCTGTAAGTTTCCCAGATTCACACTATCTCAGTTTAAATGTCTTACATTTATCAAACTTCATCATTCCAAACAGATGTTCAAGACGAGTCTTTATAATCATGAGAAACAATGAAGAAAGCTTTCTCTTATTAGTTGTGTGTGAATAATTAGGTGAATCATATTGTATACAGGGAACAACATTGTTGGGACAGACTTGAAGACAAGTTGATTGTGTGCTGATGGCCTTGACAGGACTGTTGGCAGGGTTGAGGGTGAGGTGTGGTGCCTCAGAGTGCGGATGTTTTCCACACCTGTGTGTATTATGGTGACACTTTGTAAAGATGCCAAAAGATCAAAACAGGAGAGCAATATTTCACAGGCTAAAACCCAACAGTTTTGCACGATGAAGAAAAGTTACCTGAAATGGTGAAAAACAAAGTAGTTGACTTGTGACCTATTGTAAAGTTTGTCACTGCCCTATCTAAGATTAAAAACTGTCTAATTTTAGGCTTATGGTACCTATTATACCAAAGGTACTTCTGGGACACAGACATGCCTGGTTCAGCAGTTACTCCCTGCATACCTGATGCTCTGGGAAGAGGTTCCAGAGGGGTCAGTACACAGTCATAGATTAGTCATAGCTTAGATTGCCAGAGATCATTACAAAGGAATTCTGTCAGCTTTCCTGTAGCAGTAAGGTTTGCCATTAAGCAATCACCCACGAGTGATCTCCATAAGCGAAATGTGTGAGCATAGGGTCATAGGCTGCTCCTTTACACCTTTTTTACTGCACATAATGGCTCAGATAATGCATTGCTCCCATTCAGATCATTATTATACAACCTTGTATCTCAAACACAAATGGATGGCAGCAGCCAATGGATTTTGTCATAATGCACAAAGGCACTTCAAGATTTCAGGCTTTTTTGAACGGTAGTTGATTACCATGGTCAGGACTTGCATACAGGCCACTCTGTGGGGCAGGATGCTTTCATTCTCACTAGAGCAATTTCTGTTGCTGTGTGCTGTTGTCTCTGGCAGAGTCGATCTAAGGCTTGTGAAAGGCCTGGGGCACAGGACTATTCACACTGTTCTTGAGTCATGCAAACCTTATGGACTGACAGAGCTATGTTTCATTGTCTCTAATTTTGGAAGTAATATAATCCTTTTAGAAACCACGGCTCTTAAATGGTATTTGAATAAATTTCAAGAACACTTATATTTTATTTGTTGTTTTATATAGTAAACAAGATAAAAACATAATGAAAGAGAGTAAGCATTTGAAACGTGAGGAGAATGGAAACCCTCAATATTTAATAAAAACGGTATATGCATTGTCACCAAACATTGCACAGTGTTTCTAAAAAGCCTTAAAAATGCATATTCTGCCTATGGTCAGGTCTTCTTCCAGGTATGTGGTTCTACTGCCTTATCAAATTCTAGGCTGTTTTCCTTGAATGTGAATAACAGGTCACTGGTAGGACTGCTTACAACAGCATCAAGACATACTCATGCTCACATGCAGTCAATGTCTCTGTCCTGATCTTGGCTCTCTGCATTTTTTCTTCATGCAAGGGATGTTGGGGTTGTGTGCTACTGGCTGAATATTGCGATAATAATACAGTGACCTCCAGAGTGTAAATCCTTTGCTTCCAGGCCTACCATAGAGAAGGAAACAGTGAGCTAACAGGTTAAGTGAAAGTCATAGGCTTAATGAGGTTTCAAATATTGCAGCTCACGGCACAGGAGACTATAATGACCCTAAATTAAACAAAAGGGTTAAAATAAACTTCTAGGATCAATGATTTTGACCAGGGCATGGTAACAAACATACACTTCTGTGTTTTCCTGTAATATCTCTCATTCAGGATATTAAGACAATTTACTAGTATAGCCTTGTCACCCTCTTCTGATGAAGGTAAGTAATACATAAGAATTACTTCCCTGCTTTTGTGAAATCACTTATCTCCTCTTTAATAACATACAATAATATTACACAACACTTTGGGTCAAAATGTCTCATTTAATGTGAGAAGAAAATGGAAGAATATGGGAAAGAGCTAGAAATTCGTGAATATATCAAGGGTAAATGTCTAACATTCACTTTAAAGCACCACGGGAATCTTAATAATCCTTTTGCCATTACTTCTTACTCAGGTTTTTTCAAGGGAGATTATAGTTTTCTGCCTCTTCCTTCACCCGTATTACCAGAGCACAGAACTTTGATAATTAAATATTAAAACAGACCAGTTTTCTTACTTGCAGAGTCATTACCATTTCAGATCCTGGAAAAGAACCTTTCCTGTCTATTCCATGAACTGCCAGCAGTTGGGCTTAAATTGAATTGCAAGTGGAAGTGGTTAAGAAAAGGAATAATTTCCCCCCCCCCTCTGCTTCCTCCAGGCTTTCTTTGAACGTTCTCAGGGCTTGCAGTCTTAAAAACTGTACACTGCACTGTTACATACTAATCAGACCAACAGATACAGTTTATTCACACCAAAACAGTTCTCCTCTGTCATTTTCCTTGGTTTGGGTCTCAAATGAGTGAAATTTGTTGTCCCCAGAAGTAATCCACATTTTCATTCTGAAACTTTGATAACAACTCTACCATTGCAGAAAGGAGGGAATGGCTGAGATCAAAATGAGCTATATGCACATCTCAGCTCAAAATTAATGTTGACAGAACAGAGTGTAGTATGGAACTACACTATTATTTTTATAATAAACAACAGAGAAGCAAGGAAGGGATATTCCTAATTGTCTTTAATCCGTCGACATTGAGCTTTTCACAGTGTGAAATGCCATGTGAACAGAAAGAGGTTATGTTAGTAATGACAAGCAAATGTAATAAGTTCTACATGTTAGTTGTGTAACTGAATCAGGTGTCTATTGAAATTGTAATATTAGGGATGAGTCTGACTGGTTTTGTATCATCAATAAATCAGGATCCCATAGCTTTCTGACTCAGATATCCTTAAATAATATTTTTCTATCTTATTGGTTACATTTTATGATACAGAACTTCCTTTTTTGTTTGTATAATAATTGATCATAATGTAGGCAAATATTTACAGTAAATGCAATTGTTCCAAGGAAAATGCTTGCTTACGGATTTCTGCAGTGAATTGCATCTCTATTCAATGTCACGCAGACTTTTTGTCACACTTGTGTTTCTTCAACAGGAGAGAAATGCCAACTTTTTTCTTTTGGCTAAGAGATGAATTGCCCTCTCTGTTTTTTCCCTTGTGTAAACTCAGGCAAATGATGAAAAACTGCAGGAATAGCAGCTGTACAATGCTGATCCAATTGTCTGAAGTGAAATAGAACTGCTAGAAGGCATAAAACTTGTGGAGTGCACTGATTTCCTTGGCACCTGAAACCACGAGAAAGCAATTGTTTCGGTGGCAATGCACGGTTTCTGAAAGGCTGAGGTTATGACAAGAGTAGTTAAATGGTGGCTTTGAGTTGCATGTGGATTGTGAACAATTCCAGTACAGCACTGTATGCTGTACCTGCAGTGTATAATTGGTTGTTTGGCTGTGCTAGCACAAAGATTGCTTGGCAATTCACATTCTCAGCTGAGGAAGAAGGTGAGCTGGCATTGCAGGACTTCTGGGGACCC